GTCCACTCACTGGCCAAAATTGTTCTCCGGCCAAATCAGTCTCCTGGACAATATGTCCTATTGTTTTTCATGTACTGTATATAAACGGATTGTTCTTTAATAAAATTTTTAGATATTTGCTTACCTTTAAACTCCGTTTATAACCCATAAAAACTAAAGAACTGCTATTAACAGTAGATTATGAATAAATTTTGAGTGAGGTGATGTATCTGACACTTTATTCATGAACAGTAAACAAATTTTTCGATGACAAATAAATCACTGATACATTTAAGGTCAATTCAACGGAAAACAATTATTTAGGTATGTTTCTGCATATTTTTTGAGCGAGTAAGTTAATATATTATTTATTATTAGGCAAAAAAAAAAGATGATAAATTTCTTGCAAAATTGTTCTACCTATGCCTTATAATTGTTGTACTTCAAGAATTGATATACATTAAAATTAATTGAATCGCATTTAAAAACAAATTATTTATTATTATTATTCTTCTTTTTTGGAAATTTCAGTTACACAACAAGGAAGTAGAAAATTTGATTGGATAACTTTTAGAAGATCTCTAACAAAACTATTTTAATAAGAAAGCGACGACACGACATTTAATAGTATGTCGCATTATCAATCAAGAATAACTTTTCAAATTACCTTTATTTATTATCAAGGATCACATAGAATGTTTTAAATTTTCATTTGAAAATTGATTCTTATCACGATAATTTTCTAATAAATTATTTGTTCAATTTATGAAATTTTCATACATATAAATTCGTTACGAAAAATTTATTTTTTAGGTGTTAAACTTAGAATGACTTCGCTGAAAGTGACAGGTCCATATAAGTGATATATTTTCCCGCAACATATGGGGTGAGTGCTGGGAAAAAGGACCAAATCGACAAAAAATTTTTTTTTGAAATAACAAATGATCTGAATCAGATGACCAAATCTACATCTATTTTACTTAGGAACTTTTTTTTTAAAAAAAAGTCAATTTGGTCCATTTTCCCAGCACTCACCCCATATGCGCTGTGCTTAAAAAATTTTTTAACAAAAATAAAGTCACGTGATTTGGTAATAACTTGGGGAAAAACACACTTTTAATCTAAAAAGTTAACAAAATATGAAATAATTTAATTCAGTTTGTTTAAAGTTTAAGAATAAGAAGTTTTATTTATTTGCAAATTTTATCCGAATATAAATCTTATAAATCTCTGCACATACACATAAATTCGATCTACAGGTTTTTTTTATTCTAATAAAGTATTTAATTAAAAGATATAAATGGGGAAAGAAATACATAAATTATTTTGAATCTAAACATATTTGCTTATGGATATATGAATGTTTAAGTAATGATAGAACAAAATAAAATTTAATGTCCTTTATTCGTCAGACAAATTAGGATTAATTGAACGAGGTTCCATTGAAAAATTGATCTATCAATGGATTATCTATTGTTTGGGGAGGAAGGTTGATAATGTCATGAATGACCGTGTCTTGATCTCTGCTTTGAGAATGTTGTTGATTCGAAATTGACCAATTATATCGGAAAGAATATTTAGAATCGTTCCTTATTTGATTCTCCATATTAATATTATTTTTTATTTATTTTTAAATTTAAAAAACAAATTTCTACGGTCAATAAGTCAACTTATTTATAAAAAAAAATCTGCGCCAATCTGATTTGGAATTTAAATTAAACAAAACAAAGGCCCTTTGATTTTATACTTAATCATCATTTCTTGAAAAAGCGAAAAACAATGGAATGATATTTTTCATTATTCTTTATAATTATTGTGATCTGATTTTATTCTTATTTAAATAGAAAATAACGATATTCAAATCATTCAAACTTCCCTTCAAAAGCCAAAATCGCTTTGGAGTTATAAATAAACATAAATATTAAAAAAAAAACCCGTGAGAAAAATTTTATACTCTGCAACATGGCGATGATGAACGAGGAGATCGCACACGACTAAGGGAATTGGATTTGGTAGCAGCTTCATTCGAAATCGATCAGAGATGAGATATTCATTTCGCAATATGTATCATAGAGTTCATATATTTATGGATAGGGAAATGGACTTTTTTTTAATTCTACCGTGTCTAATTTCAAACGATTAATTATCTTGTTTTGTGAATTCGTCATGTATAAGATATCAAAAGATAACGTGTTGTTTACATACATTAATAATATCATTAATTTATCTATTTGATTTTGATTTACAAATTTTTTTTTCTGTACTATTAGATCTACACCTTTCATTTCATTTTTACCAAAAAAGTATTCAAGTGAGATTTGCTGAGTTATTTTTGTTTTTACAATATAAAAAAGGATATAAACATCAAAATCCAATGTTTGCAAGGGCCATATTTTTCTATTTTCTATTTAGTTTTGAAAATTTTTATGTATTGCAGTTCAAGACAGATAATTCACAGCATAAGTAATAATGATTATCTCCGCGAATTGTCAATTGAAAATATATTAATCGTCAATTTATAATTGATATTTTATTAATATCCCTCCTCCAAGAATAAATCGGTTGTCATTTGCTATTATCTACCCGTATCCAATTTATTTTTCGATGCTGTATTTCTTTTTTCAACCCCTCAGAATCGATTTATCAATCCTATATTTGAAAATTTTATTTTAATATTGGGACTATTCGATCGATATTTTTTATTTACCGATGGTTTAGTAATGTAAACAGCGGACAGCGGACGGTGATATATCCGATACTTGGAATTGGAAGACAAAATGCGTTACTTATTTATTTGCTGCGCCATTTAAATTCATCAAATAATAGCCATTAGGAATATTATTTAGACTCATAGACCTTTACTTCAAGACAACCCTCTAAATTTTCTAAATTTTTTTATTCCTAATAAATCCTATATATGGCAAATAACGATTTTTTCGATTTTCTTACCACCTTCCCATCACCTGCTGGTGAATACTGATAGATCTGTTGTGGTGTTCGTGATTTAATGTTATACACGCATCAAAAATATTTATGAAGGAATTTGCAATTAAACATAAAATTTTGGTCATAATTCTTGACCACATTTCCTAAATTGTTCCGATGTAGTAACGCCTCAAAGTGCAAAGTCAGAGTATTATATTGTTCCCCTATAAAATAATCATAAAGTATCGTACAATTGGGAACCGTACGAAAAAGAGTTTGAGTTGAAATATTCAGAAATTTTGTAGAAATATAAAACGTACTGAACTCATGTAATTTTTTTTTTTGTAATTGTCAGGTTTTACATAGATAAATTGCCCGTCACGTCAAATAAAAAAACTGACCTTTCAAAACATTTTCTGACGTTCAAATCAATTTCAAAACAGACAAATTGCCTAATTATAAAAAATATTTGAATATTTGTAAAGATTAGTAAATGATTATGTAAAAAACTTATTTATTAATAAAATTTTTTTCTACATTATGAAATGTATGAACTTACAGTTAGGGTTATTTTCGGTTTCTAACGTCTTTTGAACAGTTATTTCTATATTTTTTAATGTTTTATTAAATATAAAATACAAATTTACAAATAAGATTTTTTTTTTTAGTAAAAATTGTGTAAAAAATTAAAAATAAAAATATTAAAATTATACTTAAAAGCGAGAAAATCACGAAAATAATGTTTGTTGATTAATGTTTGTAATCAAATACAATCTGCATGTTATTAGTACATGTATGCAATAAAAATAATAATTACATATTACATCAATCGATGTGCATATCGTAAATACCAGTGTAATATTTATTCTCTAGAATATATGCTTCTTTTACAAAATTATCACATCAACTTTAATAAAGCTAATTTATAACCTTGTAATTTTTTTAATTTAGTTAAAAAACAACAAGGACCATCAAAGATAATTATACCAAAAATGTATTCATTACTAATTGGATTAAAGTCCATTACAATGCGAAAATGTACTGAGCCTTTTTTCGCCATAAATAAGCTTTGTCATTTACTTTGACATAATTTATCAAATATTTTCCGTGTATTTACCGAAACATTCATTGGATTAATCCATGGAATAGGCTTAATTATTGCAGAAAACTCTGAGAAAATCAAAGGTATAATTGGTAATTGTTAAAAAAAAAATAACATCATCGTGCATTTGACATAACCTGCATTTTTCCCCTTTAAATATGTCGATTTTGTTTAGTGCATATTTTGCATAATAAAATGATTCTAAATCCTTTTTCATTTTAAAAAATTAAATTTTTTTTCACAATTTAAATGTCATTTACATGTGAACCAAATCATTTTAGATAATAAATGGCCTCTTTGATAACTATCTTTGGAATGAAACCTTCTAAAATAAATATGATCATTTTCATTTTAAAGTCATTATTTAAAATTTTACGAATCCAATAAAAATAATATTCCGTGCCTGTAGGCTAATTCTTTTATTGTTTGTTTCAAACACGAGAAATTTTTTGCCAACATAATATCTGCAACTTGAAAAACCAATTGCAATTTTTTTTAAAAAAAAATCTGTTCCACTGACATCATTTCGCAGCGGAACCCACGGGTTTAATCAATAAAAGTAAATTCATAATTAATAGAATCAAACTTTAAAAGAGTCTAACTAAAAATTTCTTTATCCCGTATTTATTTGGCTTTTGAGTTTGTCAATCAATCCGATGATAAATAACTGTTGTAACTTAAAGGGGTTAGATTTGATCGATCATTTCCCTCATTATTTTCATCCGATTGAATCAATTGTATTATTATCCCGGCTACAAATATTTTGAGCTAAACGCACAAGTCTGGAAATAAATGATTTATAATCCCTATTAAAGTTTTTAATTAAAAATTTAATTAATTATAATATACTGCATATTTAAGCAAAAAAAAAATGAAGGATAATGAGATTACGCATTTACTTATAATTTAACAAAGATTAAACACTCAAAAAAAGAAAAAAATTGTGGCTGTTAATTTTCAAATAGTGTCAATTTATTGGCTGATAAGGACCTAAATGGCCGTGGTTGAATTCCCAAATATAAACACGAGAGCTTTGAAAGTAGGCGTGAAAATTTTTATAAATATAATAAAGAAATTAAAGAAATTGTATCCAGGTGAATTGATAAATAACCGAAGGGAACTTTAAAAGAATATATTAATTCAAAATGAAAGGCTTATATAAAAAATGGAGCGTTAGTACTATATTTACAGCATATTCAACGTATAACATCGCTCTTGGCTTTGGTTGGGATGGAGACGAATTACGTCCATGTGACCTCTTTAATGACCGGAAATATCTTCAAGCCAACCTCAAAAACCTTTTGTAAATTCTGTAATTTCTCAACATTCGAATTCTTTGAATGCTAATTTTCATTCAACACAACACCTGCTGATGTTAAAATGGACAACTTATTTACAATTGATGAAGACACTGTCATAATTATATAAATTCATTTTTATTGATTAAATATTTTACGTTAATGATATCAATTCGATTATGAAAGAATACCACACTACTATGAAATCTTTTGAAAAAGGCACAAATAAAAAACCTTTTAATAAAAAAAAGCTCGATTTATACAAGCGTGGTGACAGTGGAAGCATTAAAAAGGATCTAGTATGCTTCAGATTTCGTGTGAACTTAAATGGAAAATATTAAGAAAACTGCAAGGTAATAATTCTTTCTTTAATAAGAAACGTTATTTGATTTGTTGCTAATTAAGTTCTATGATTTAGTATAGCCCTAGTTATCGGCATAAGTTTTGAAGTTGAAGAAATTTTAATTGAACGTGCAGATATTTAATTTTAAAACAAATATCCTTTTTTAAAAATCGAAGAAAGATATATATTTGCGAAAAAAATTTATTTTACACTACACGAAGAAAAAAATAGTTTTTTATTTCCCATAATGTTTATGTTTGTATATAATAATTTCATATTTAAGGCATAATGAGCGTTTCATTAGCTGCTATCGCTTAACTATAAATAGTAATGTTACCTAACTTAAAGTTGAACACTTCATTTTTTTTAAATTCATTATTCCTTATTATCGTGCTCACCCATATGATGTAGACGACCTTGTTTTTTGATATTTTTATTAATATCGCAAATAAACTACAAACTAAGCATTTATATCGAAATAAGCTACATTAATATATTTTAAGCTAGTAAATAAAATAATATAAATTTTTATATGTTATTTAATTATTAGTATTATTAAAAATAACTACGGAATTTATGAAAACTTTATCAGCCGTCATTTTTGAAATTAATTCTTCTAATCCATGCGATTGATTTTGTTGATCTTGAGTATTATTTATTTCCTGAAGTGGGTGCCGAAATGGACTTTTATTATCATTAGAACTAATTGTTGTAGTATCAATAATCGTACTTTTATCTATTTTTTTGAAAAAAAATAATTAATAATGCTAAACATTATAACAAAATATATGTAATAGTTATTTCAAGGGAATCCATGGATATCAATGAATTTCACGGCGCAGCCGTGAAAATCATGATATTCATGAAAATTCCCGTGAAATAATAACTGTTATATATCACGGATCCGTCATATTGTCATAAACATACAACACAACTAACTTTTTTTATCTATGAATAAACTTTTTGATCATCCTTTTTAGCGCTATCCTTCCTTTTTTTACAATTTTTTTTACTACAATAAACTTTTCAATCATCCATCTTTTTTAGCGTTATCCTTTTTTTTTATACTTAACTTTCTCACTTCACCTTTTTAATTTTTATTTCTCTTCTCTTTCATTTTAACTATGGGTAAAAAAAATAGAATTTCTTCTGCAACAAATATGCCCTTTCCAAGTTTTCAAGTTTAATTTCTAATGATCCTATTACCAATATTCAAGATATTGCTCAAGAAAAAGCTTCCTATTATCGTGAAAAAGCAAAAATAAAAAATACTGAAAAATCTACTAAAAGCTGGACTATAAAATTTGAAGAATTTCGTAACAATGCAGGTTATTTTGTTCCTTTGACTGAACTTAATAACATATCGCAACTCAAAAACAAATTGTAGAATTTATCTCTACAATGAAAAAAAAAGATGGTAATGAATATAAAGCAACATCGGTTAAGCAAGCTGTTGATGCACTTAATAGATACCTTCTTTATAATTCACCTATTTCACATATTTATTTGCATGATAAATATATGTTATCTGATTTACATGATGTTTTACATGGCAAATTACGCGATCTGCAAGAACATGTATTTGGCGAAAAATCTGACAAATTTTACAACATCCTAGAGTTAATTAAAATAATCCTGAAAGCCTCTTATATCGTATTTTTTTTTTCATTTATCTATAATATTAGCTATGCGTGAAGGTGAACATTATAATCTAAAAATTGATCAATTTAAATCTGATGGATGTAATGGCTTATGATTTTTTCGTTATATATCCAAGAATATTCAACGCAGAATTCAAGGAGACGAGGCTCAAATTATTTCAATACCTATTTTATTTATCTTAACGTCCATCTTCAGCTGATGAAAATTTTTATTTACAACCTAATCCATCATGGTCAGAAACTGGCATTTGGTATAGAAAAGCTCATATTGGAAAAAATAGTTTAAGTAAATTTATGCAAAAATTGGCCATGAAACTCAAATTGATATTCCTATTGGATTACTTTCTAATCATTCTGGACGAAAAGTTGCTACAATAATTTTACAAGATCAAGAAATTTCTGAACTTGCTATTATGCAACACACTGGTCATAAAAGTATTCAGGGAGTTTGGGCTTATAAAAAAATTAATGAAAACCAACAACTTAATACTTTAAATACATTGATTAATATTACAGATACCAAATTATCTTCTGAACAAATAATTCATTTATTCAAAATAATATCAATATTAATAAAGATCATTTAATGTCACAAATACCTTTTCAAGAAATTTCTTTAATTCAAATCCTTTAGATGAATTACTTATATTTAATAATTGTACTTTTCGAATGTTTCTTTTTATATCCAAAAATAGGTTATTAAAATTATTTTGTGTATACTATATTTTTAATAATTAAATATAAAAATAATTTTAATATTATTAAATTAACTTTTATGATATGATTTATATGATTGGTCAATTATACTGTAAAAATATCAGTAAAAAAAGTCACGGAAATTGATTAGGAACCGTGGTATAAAATATGTAATTTACCATTAATCAATGACTTTGCTAATATAAGTTCATTTTGCAATGATATAGAATGATTGGATAAATATAAGAAAGGATTTAGAGGTGATATTTTTAATGAAAACATTGTTGATTCTATTTAATGTAATAATAATAGTAGAATTAATATTTTAAAATTTAATAAATAATTAAATAATAACATACCTTCTTCAGTATTATTTGATGTTTTAAATCCAAATGTTTGAGCAAGTTTCATGGCATTATTATATTGCAGTTCAGTTTCTGGTTGTTCATATCTTGCCAAACCCTGTTCAGATTTGTGTCTTAAACTTGCCATACATTCAATTCAGTATTAGAAAAATTTAATCTTTTTAAAATTTGAACAAGAGATTTCGTCCTAAATGATTACTAATTTTGCGATCATCCAAATTAATACTAGTATTAGTAGCAATTTGCCTTATAAATAATTTAAGATTCTTTTCAGAGATTTGTTCTTTATGATACCATTGTCCATTAAATTCAGCTATAAATAAAATGTATAATTTAATAAAATTTAAATTATAATTTGAAATTATTATATTAATACTTACTTTCATTAATATTGCATAGTTTTAAAAAAAAGTTTGAACTTGCTTGAGTTAGATGTTTAGAAAAATATTTTTCATATATTTTAATAATTTCTGGTACTTCAGAAATTAATAATATTTCTCCTTGTGATTCAATATTATCAACATCACGTTGATTTATTTTTGATTTATAAAGAATTATTTCAAATCCTCAATAACTATCATTTTTTCGTAAAAAACTATTATATTGCAAATTAAAATGTTCACTACTGCGTAATCCTAATAAAATTGCATAAAAAATAAATACCTGATATAATAAACAAGATGGATTTCATCTGTCATGATTGGATGGTTCATAATATGTAAAATTTCTTCTTCAGTGAAACCTGAACTACCAATATGTTCTGCAAGGCCTTTATTAGCTAGATTTTTTACTTTGCCATTAAAAATTTGCCATAGCTTGTAATATTTATTTTTATCCAGAATGTTTATCAATTTAGAAAGCATTGATTTTTCATTCAAATGTCAATTTATAGCATGAAGACAATTGTTAACTGAAGTAACATGATACTCAGTTCTATCTTGCTTTTTTATTAAATGAAAAAAGTAACAAAGTTGCTCTTCTAACTCTTCTTTTATAGTTATTTCTTCAATAAGACCTTGATATTTTACATCTGATCAAAATTTTCAAATATGCGAACCCATTTGATATTGAATAATCAGTATTTTTACTATAAATATTATTAATAAACTTGTAAAGTCCTTTTTTGTAGGTTTTTCATAAGTAAAACTCGTCTGAAAATAGAGGTTATTATCATTAAGTTTATAAAAAAATAAAAACAAAAAATTTTATCATTTTTCGCAATTTCATAAAAGGTGGTTCCATTTTTTTTAAAAAAAATATCTGGTAGAAACAAAACGAAAGAATATAAATTAAATAAAAGTATCTGGTAAAAAAGAATGGTAATTTTAAAAAAATTTGTATAAATAAACTTTCCTTATGACATAATGTCAACATCATAAAATCACATAATAATATCGTTATTATGCTTTGCATTGATAAATAATCAAAATTATTGTCTAATTGTAATGTTGATTAGTAAGATTTAGCTATGTTAGTCTCCTGATTATTATAAAATTTTTCTTATTTCATTTTTTTATAAATTTATCTTTTCTGTTATCAATTATCCCAATATAACTTCGTCTTTATATTCAAAGTCAAATTATATCCTTTAATAAAGAAAAAATATCTTATAAAACTATTAAAGTATTCTTTATTATAAAATAATACTAAAAATTTTATTTTTATTCAGTATCAAAAGCACATGAGATGTTGAATCATTTTTTATATCAAATTTTTAAATTGCGATAACTTGCGAACTATCACAAATTTATTTTAAATTAATCATATAAATATATTTTTTCATCCAATTTATCTCATAAATTTTCTATGAGATTTAAATCTGTGCTCTGTGCAGTTCATGGTAAACTTGTTATATTATTTTCAACTTGCCTTTTTTCAACTACTACCTTTGTAGAATGAATAGGATTATTATCTTCTTGAAAAATGTATTTATTTTTACTTTCT